GCATGATGAAGATTCAGATAGATCCTAATCGGATCCACAAATCGAGATGAATGGAGTGAAAGGAAGCAGATGTGATGAAGCCACACTATACTCATCAAAAAGGGGACACCTATAGAGGAATCGAACATAAACAAGATGTGAAAGGGCGAGAGTGAGATACGAAGGTAGGTCGAAAGCAGGTTCAACTACTATGGCAATGGATTTCGGATATGGTTCGTCCAACTACCAAGCTGCGAAAACAAGGTCAGACCACTTCTAAACATTTAAGAGGCTAAAACATAGGCCACGACATCTTGGTATTCATGCCTACTATTAAATTTAAGGAATAAATCTAGTCTACATATATGGAAAACGAGCTGGCTAAATAAAAAATAAAAATTAAGATGGGCTTCCAATTTGATATTACTCCAAAATGTACAGGGTTAGGTCAATAAAAGAGAAAACTTAGCATTATGTACCAAACTAAGCCCAAATAAATAAGATTTCAGGAATGTGAAAGCACGAAGCAGAATCCGTTGTCTATTCTTAAATGATGTCTTGCTAAATCAAAAAAGTAAGGGAGATGTTAACTTTAGGAGATGTGCGAAGGCCATGCAAAGTCTATTCAGAATATAATCATTACTTAAGATACATCACTAGATGCAAGAATTTGAAGTTAAAAATATCTATTTCAAAATGAGAAACAAACCTGCTGCGGGGAAGTATGCTTTACAGTCAAGAAGTAGTTCTAACTCCTGTAGGAGCTTGTGAAGCCGTCGACACTCCATTAGCTCCGATTCTGGAAGTGGTGGAAGCGCTGCCGGGTAGAAGGCGGGACCACGAAATCCGCGATGAGAATGCAGAACCAAAGTACAGAAGCAATAGCGCAACAAAAGGAGGCGCAGGAAATCATCGCTCATGAATTGAATGTAAGTATGATCTTGACGGGGATTAGTGGAATAAAAGGTGTGTGAATTAAATGAAATTAAAAGCATAATCAACTAGCAAAGTACTCGAATAAATCGATTGTAAGAAAGGAAATTCGCCTGGGGCACCATTAATTGCTAGGAAAGGCCGTTGTATAAACCAGAGGGTCAGTATAACGGCTTGCGTAGACAAATGACGGAAACTATTTAGTCAAAGACCGACCTTTTCTCATATCCTAATTTTGCCGTCATGCGTTCTTTCTAATAAAATATAAAAACTATTGAAAGTAGGAAATAAAAACAGTATCCAAAGAAACCCACACACTTTCATCGATTATGCCATCACTTAGAGAGAAATATGAACCATTATCGAGATAGGGCTGCTATAAGATCGTGTGCTGCTGTGGCCGACCTTATGGAGGTAAGAAATGCCGGTCTATTCGACAAAGATAAGGGGAACACAAAAATGCTTGTAAAGGGGGCTGGGTCCAACAGTCAACAGTGGCCGAACACATGACAGAAACTGGCCATGAGATAGAATGGTCTCAAACGGGTAGGTTTGTTGATTATAGTACGTCTGCTGCTAAAAGAAAGGTAAGAGGCTATGTGAGAAAACTGGGTTTCCAAGAGAGGCGAGTTAAATTAATAGATTGGGAAATAAGTTGAATGTGAGGAACGGTGGTAGAAAGTTGAGCAAGAAATACTTGTATTAATAAATTGAAGAAGATTTGCAGTCCCAGTCATGTCTTTCCTTTGAAGGTTAAACCTTAATGACCTTAGATTGAGAGGTTAAGACAAGTAGTTTCGTAACCTGACTTACACGCTTACAAGCTTACATCTCATTATCTCAACCATAGATGCTTCTGAACATGGTTATGGCTTTTTCTTAGGGCAATAAGCCTTAATGGACAGAGCCTGACGGGTTTTTTTATCACTGATTTAGGACCGATATTGCGTATAGAGGTTAACATACACACTCGAGCAAAACTAGCAGGACCAATATGAAAGATAATTAGCCAAACCATCCTATATCTATCTATGCTTATTAATTTTCATTTTTAGTCTGTATAAGAGGTAAGATAGTCTTCTTGATCTAGTTTTAACGTAAAACTTCTACAAGAATGAGTTCTATCTCTGATCATGCCCATTATATGATGGATAAAAGTTCAGCCCGTTTTAAACGTAATGAGGGAGGATGTCTCATGGGCTGCGTCAACCTGAACGTCGTATTAAAGCCAAACGGCTGCAATACAACGAAAATCTGTCGTCCTCTTCTAGTTAGATCGACCTTCGAATCTCTTCTTCGTGCACTTTAATATGAAAGTCTCGCAAACAATGGTCATCGAAACCCAGTTACTCTTCGTATCCAGTATTTTTAAAAATATGGTGATTTTGCTCATAGCTAATGAAAGTGACTTCGATGCCAAGAGCCGATAAAAATTTAAAGTAGATATAGATAGGCTCCACATAAGTCAATTATCAATTTTAAAAATTCTACATAAAAGACGAGGTTCAAATGCATGCTAGGCTAAGCAATTACGAACAAATAACAAGGAATAAATAGTCATCCACTAACACTAGTAAATATGCTTGATCAAAATTAATAAATTAGTGAAGACCCATTTTTAAACTCTCGATCAGTAGGTCATATCCATAATGTTCAATCCATCGAATGTATAGAAAAAAATTATTTAAATGGGATAAAGTAGACTAGTTGTCCAAAGTAAATGGGGAGGATAAATGCAAATAATTTTTGAAAAATTGTCCAGTTATCAGGTATCGGAGTATCGCCTCTAAATTAAGATACAAAAGCCACATTTGCTTGTCCTGACCTCTCAGAAACATATTTAATTGTCATTAAAAGGAACTGTTTTACAAATCCCATGAAGGGATTAGTCGAACGACTTGAAATAAGATGAAGTGTAAAGGTTCACATTAGCCCACTTTCGTAACTGCTTTTGGAGTACTGTCCAGTACTAGCTTGCTACGAATGCACTCATCAAACAGCCTTAAAAATATACAATGAAGAATAATGTACCGAGGACACTCTATTAAAGGTAGGATCTGCAAAACAGATTCAGATAGGATGCCAAAAGTCTAGATTATGGCTGAGTTAGATAAAGGCTGGCACTATGAAGATACTTAAAACCATAAAGTTCCCAGAAGGAACTAAGCTGCAAAGTAAACTTATATTATTTTATGATCCCGGAAATATAAATATTTCCAAAGTATAAAAAGCAAGTAGAATGCGATTGAACAATTTGACAAGTAGGGATTATGTCCGACTTCAGAGTGAAATTTATTTTACAGATTATTTTAATAATAACTTCTGGCGGATGTCAAAAATATTAGATCAAGCTTCTACTTGCTTCATTAGATTCTTGGCGCAGAGCTTCTATTTGTGATTGTACAAATAGTTATGGCATATTACCTTCTTAGGAGATGTCATTAATGCTTTGTTGCAGCCATGCAGCAGTTGCGACTGGTTTTTGTGTTGCATTAATAGTCACTCTTCTCATGATGAAATTAGGAAACCTGATTTCTATATTCATCTAATGAACTGTTATTTTGACATCACCAAGTTTTTATCATCATTTCCAACAGAAATCGAATCGTGATGTGTGGTTTTAGAAGCGAATACGTTAGCTCCAAACCCACATGACCCTGGATAAATTGTCTTATATGATCCAAATTTCAAATTGATGCAAGCTTTTATCAACCCTTATCATTAAATTTGCATTGAGCAGATAGAAACATACGATCTTTGTAAATTTAAAACAAGGATATCTCAAATGTATTAGCAATGGTGCAAGGTT